AGAAACCTGCTTGTCATTAGCTTTCATCATACCTGCATCCAGGTGCAATGAACCCCTGCAGTCCTCATACCCATGATCAATGGATAGATAGTCTCATCAGCTGCCAATCCCACTGCCATAGGTAAATCCAGGCAGAGCAGTCTGCCACAACACCAGCCTCCTTGGAAAGGACCTCCAGCTGAACTTTTAGCAGTGGCATGGGGAGCAACACCCCACTCAACAGGAAGATCATCTAGCACTAGCTTGGACTGTGACTATCTTAACAAATAGGACACCACAGAACTGATGTATTACAGGTTCTCAGCACATCCACCCCTCTCCTTTTGGATCAGTGTTTCAGAGTAGTCACAAAAGTGGCTAGTGTGGATCTCTCCTCTTTCTCACTAGGCAGCAGAAATCCCAGAAAAAGTGAACAGGTATTCCACAAAGCCATTAGCTCTGAGCTGAGAGAAGAAATTTCAGATGAGAAGAAATCCACACAGAAACTCTGGCAATAAGAAAAAACTAGCTAGTTTGACATACCCCCCTCCACAAAGGATCACAATAGAACTTAGCAACAGACCCCAACAAAGAAGATATTGTTGAAATGTCAGAAATATAATTAAGAATATGAATAGGAAATAACATGAATAAGATTGAAGAGAATGTTATAAACCATCACAAAAAAGCCAAAAATTTTTCAAGTTATCAATGAAAAAGTGAAAAAGTTTTTAAAAAGCTTGACAAAACAAGACATGTGTAATAGAACTTAAAGAAATGAAAGAAGTATTTAGGAAATCTCAAACACAGCAGAAACTTCAACAGCATGCTAAAAAATGACTCTCAGAGCCTGAATACAAGGATTTCAAACTAACTCAATCAGTAAAAGATGCAGATAACAGAATAAAGAATAATGAACAATCACTCAGAAAAATATGTGACTATGAAAAAATGAGCCAATGTATGAATATAGATATCCCTGAGGAAGAAGAAAAAGCATAGAAAACCCATTTGAAGGAATTATTGAGAACTTCCCTGGCATCACCAGAGATTCAGCTAACCAGATACAAGATGGACATCAAACACCAGGAAGATTCATAGCAAATAGAACATTTCCAAAAGACATAGTTATCAACCTGGCCAAAATCAAAATAAGGGTAAAAATTTCACAGGCTCCAAGCTGAAAGTAACAATTAACATACAAAGGGAAATCTATCAAGCTAACAACAGACTTCTCAGTGGAGATCTTACAAACCAGAAGTGATTAGAACACCATTTACAGTTTTCTTAAACAGAACAAATGCCAGCCAAGAATTTTACACCCTACGAAACTAAGTTTCATTAATGGTGGATAAATAAAGACTTTTTCAGACAAGCTGACACTAAGGGAATATGTCACTACTAGATTTGCCTTACAGGAAATACTCAAAAGTATATTATGCATAAATCAGCAAAATAAATACCATCTTAAAAACACACAAAAGTTCAAGCTCTCACTTCATACATGTAATACAATAACACAAGAGGGAAATAAAACAACAAGCTATTACCCAACATAATGCACAGAATAGTTAATTCCCACATGCCAATATTAACACTGAACATGAATGGTATTAGTAATACCCCACTTAAAAGACACAGAGTGGGTGACAGGATGAAAAAACACAATAAATGCTGTCTCTACAAAACACATCTAACTAACAAGGACTTGCACTGACTCCAGGTAAAAATATGAAGAAAAATATTCCATGCAAATGGAAACCATAAGAGAGCAAATGTAGCCATTCTTACATCAGATAAAATAGAATTTAAATTAATAATGGTAAAAATAAAAAGGCAAAGATAATCATAATATAATAGTAAAGGGAGTAAATCGACAAGAAGACTTAACAACCCTAAATATATACATACCTCACACACAGGAGATCATAGATTCATAAAGCAAATTCTACTAGATCTAAGAAAATAAATGAAAAATAGCATTGGAATTGCTGAGAATTTTAATACGTGACTGA